TCAATTTGCGTTATACCTTTGACTCCTCGAAGTTGTGTTGCAGCAAAACTTTGTACTTCGTGTCCCTCTTGCGTACTACCCTCTTATGTCCAACTTGAAATGGCAAGAGGTCAGATAGACATTTTTGCCATTCTTCCGAGGTCAATCCACAAATTTGAGTTTCTTTTGCTCCGTATACGGATGCTTGGCCAACAAGACAACCGCTCCCGACGCAAGCACTAAGGAAATGGCAGCGATGGCTGGTGGTGCGTTCTAGCAGCCTCTTGAATTGGATGGGATTGAATATTGGCTTTGCACACTGTGACAGCCGAAAAGCCCGAAACAAAGCTAGAAAATGCCTTCGGGATGGGCGGCTATGGGAGGGGGACGCTTGCTCGGTCGTGTACAGAAATGGGAAATTCCTAGATGTGGGGGGGGGGGGGGGGCCACTTGCTCAAGTAGGGCGCAGGCTCGGTATTTTATGGTGGTCAAAACCTTCTAATTGATGCCTTTTCACAGATTGCACAACATAAAGCAGACAAAAGTTTCTTTGATATGAACACCCAAAAGCAAATCCAGCAGATTGAGTGTGTGGTTCCATCTTTGAGTGGCAGTTCCAACCGGATGATTCTAACTTTTTCGCTCCCTGTTCTTTGGCAAAAATGATGTTTCAACTTAGCTAAAGTCTACACCCATGAACTTTGAATACAATAGAAGCCCCACCTAAACACAACTTCGTGAAAACTTTCATTGCAGCCAGTTCAATGGATTCTTTGTACAAGTTTTGCTATGTTGCTAAGCACATACCTTCCACATTATTTCACACGACCATGTTTATTTTTCTCTGGATGAACAAGTAGGGCAGATCACCGGCAGGGTGCAATGATGTTAGTGTCGGCTAGGGTTCCTGTATATAAGCTCCCATGAGAGCAGAGTTGTGCATTCATTCATTTTGAAATTCAATGTTATGCGGGTAATCCACTCTTCCCACGTGCAGCAACCGTGCTTTCACAAAAGTGGCTGCTGCTTTGAGCTCATTCTTTTCATTATCATTTTGACAACCACGTCACACTTCATTATGTACTTGCAAAAAGTATTTCTCCAAATTACTATTTAGAAAATCAGTCAGGCAACACAGCATGCAAAGAAACTGTCAAGTGGGTATTCTTTTTAGCGACAAATTGCTTAAGGGTGAACAGAATAGACAGGCTGGCTGTCGTGTGACGTGCTTTGTGGCTTTGTGTCCAGGTGAGATGTTTGGGTACCAGGGATGTATCAGTGAAAAGGCGGATATCTGTCAAAGGACAGGAGGTATGAAATGATCTGTTTTCAGATTTTTATACCGAAAAACCGGCTTTTGACTTTCTAACTTTTATTGGCTTATGAAATATGCTATTAATTTAATGCCAAACTACATTTTTTTATCCCAAGCCAAAATTTGTTTCATTGAGTGCTTCTTTGAACTGATGTAAAAATGGAAAAAATGAAATTCAACCACTCAGCTGATGCAGAACTACAATAATGGCTGCTTATTTCTAAAACATGTGGCTATCTTTTTTTGTGCTTTCTTAGTGTATCCTAATGCAATGAGGCCTTGTAGGAGACGGAGCTGCACTTTCGAGAGAGACCAGCTGCCCATTGAAAGCCACTGAGGACATCTGGTTTGGGTGTTGTTCCTGTACCTATGACACCAGAGATCAGCGTGGCATCGTGAACCACCTGGTTGCCCATGGTGATGAACAATCCAAGAGCCAGCATCCTCCCGTGTCCTCTCACTCCAGGTCCAAAGTGCCAAGCAACGCTCAAAAGCACAAAAGCAACAAGTTCAAGTGCAAACTGTGTCCTCAAGCCTTTGCTAGTAATTCCCAACTGACCAAGCATAGCCAAACACACACTGGTGAAAAGCCATTTAAGTGCAAGCTTTGCCTAAAAGCCTTTGCTTGGAATTCTCATTTAAGAAGGCATAATGTAACACACTCTGGAAAAAAGCCATTTAAGTGCAAGCAGTGCCCTCAAGCCTTTTCTCGTAATAGTGCTCTGATCTTACACAATCGAACACACTCGGGTGAAAAGCCATTTAAGTGCAAGCTGTGCCCCCGAGCCTTTGCTCAGAATGGCGATCTGATCCGCCACAACCGAACACACTCGGGTGAAAAGCCATTTAAGTGCAAGCTGTGCCCCCGAGTCTTTGCTCAGAATGGCGATCTGATCCGCCACAACCGAAGACACTCAGGTGAAAAGCCATTTAAGCGCATGCTGTGCCCCCGAACCTTTGCTCGAAATGCCCATCTGCAAAACCATAACCAAGCACACTCGGGTGAAAAGCCATTTAAGTGCAAGCTGTGCCCCCAAGCCTTTTCTCGGAATTCTAATCTGATCCGCCATAATCAAACACACTCGGGTGAAAAGCCATTTAAGTGCAAGCTGTGCCCCCGAGTCTTTGCTCAGAATGGCGATCTGATCCGCCATAACCGAACACACTCAGGTGAAAAGCCATTTAAGTGCATGCTCTGCCCCCGAACGTTTGCTCGAAATACCCATCTGCAAAACCATAACCAAGCACACTCGGGTGAAAAGCCATTTAAGTGCAAGCTGTGCCCCCAAGCCTTTTCTCGGAATTCCAATCTGATCCGCCATAATCAAACACACTCGGGTGAAAAGCCATTTAAGTGCAAGCTGTGCCCCCAAGCCTTTGCTCAGAATGGCGATCTGATCCGCCATAACCGAACACACTCAGGTGAAAAGCCATTTAAGTGCATGCTCTGCCCCCGAACCTTTGCTCGAAATACCTATCTGCAAAACCATAACCAAACACACTCGGGTGAAAACCCATTTAAGTGCAAGCTGTCCCCCAAGCCTTTTCTCACAATTCCAATCTGATGCGCTATAATCGAACACACTCAGGTAAAAAGCCATTTAAGTGCAAGCTGTGCCCCGAAGTCTTTTCTGAGAGCTCCAGTCTGATCTGCCATAATCGAACACATTCAGGTGAAAAGCCATATGAGTGCAATTGTGCCCCCAAGCTTTTTCTCGGAATTCCAGTCTGCTCCGCCATAATTGAACACAATCAAGTGAAAAGGCATATAAGTGCAAACTGTGCCTCCAAGCCTTCTCAGAGTTCCGGTCTGATCTGCCATAATCGAGCACACCCAGGTGAACAGCCATTTAAGTGCAAGCTATGATCTCAATCCTTTTCTTGGAATCCAAGTCCAATCTGGCATAATTGAACACACTCGGGTGAAAGCCATTGAAGTGAAGCTATGCCCCCAAGCCTTTTTTCGGAATTCAAGCCTGATCTGCTATAATCAGACTCAGGTGAAAAGCCAATTATGTGCAAGCATTGCCCGGAGCCTTTACTCAGAATCGTATATTAAGAAGGCATAATCTGACATACACTGGTGAAAAACCATTTAAGTGCAAGGTATGCCCCCAAGCCTTTTCTCAAAGGCATTCTGGTCTGGCATAATCGGATCCATACAGGTCAAAAACCATGCAAGTGTAAGTTTTGTCCCCAAGCGTTTGCTCTCTATTCTGAACTGAGCCACCATAACCGAACACACATTGGGGGAAAGCCATTTAAGTGCAAGCTGTGCCCCCAAGTCTTCTAAAAATCCCGATCTGATCCGCCATTATGGAACACACTCAGGTGAAAACCATTTAAGTGCAAGCTGTGCTCCGAGCCTTTGCATGGAATTCACATCTGAGACACCATAAGCGAACATTGGTGAAAAGTAATTTAAGTTAAAGATATGCCCCAAGACCCTTTTTCAGAGTTCTTATTTAATCTGCGATAACTGAACACAGTTGTGAAAAGCCATTTGAATGCTAGCTGTCTACCCAAGCCTTTGCTCAAAGAGTAAGCTGATTAAACACAGTCGAGCACACGGATTATAAGCCATATAAATGCCTGCTTGCACCCCAAGTCTTCTCAATATTTTCATCTCTGATGCCATAATCAAGCACACAGATGAAAAGCAATACAAGCAGGGGTGGAAGCGCTGCGCCATTGTGTGCCATTCCACTTTCGCTGAGCCATCCTCCTCCCAAGCCCAAATGTTGCACCACAAAAGTTTTTTCAGTTATGAAAGCAGGTGACTTGTTTGTTTGATAAAAACAGGTGTTGATTGCCCATTTTAATCTAATGAAAATTATGATTTATTCCAGACCAGGTAAGTAGACAGTGCTCCATTTCGTTTCATAGGCTGTCAAGCGCCAGCAGCGCAGGGAAGATTGCGTGAGTTAGTTGTTTAAGTTTCCGTTCCGTACCAGTGCCGTCGAAGCACTTGTCTGGGCGCGTTGCTTTGTGCCATCAGTGCCACAGCTCGGCCAACATTGCATGTAGATGTCTGATCTCCGAAAATGGGAACTGCATAGGTGGCTTTGTCAGAAGTATTGAGACTTACTTGCTAGTTTTGTCAGCCACTTTTTTTTAACAAACTCCTAAACAAGCTTTTTTATTCTATTCAGTCATGCTTGTTTTAGTACGGTCGTAGGCACGTGTGTATGAGCAGAGAAGATATGAAGTTTTCAATTTTCTGCATTTGTACTATAATGAGAGATTTGTATTCTGTTGACTTGAGTATTGGAATACATTTATGTTTGCTAAACAGGGACTTGGGGAGCATTTGTATCCCCTAACAATGAAAACTGTAGTCAGTTAGTATTGGGCTTAATTTCATCCCATACTATTGCATTTTTAAATGGTTTTGTTTTCAAGTTATGGATACTTGTGATTTGGGTTGTTAAATAGGCACGTTTTGTTTTCATGACACTTAAGCTGTGCTTATTTTGTTGACTATGCCTTCTATTGGAAATCCATAAGAGGAACGAACCCTCTACCAGGACAGTTTGCAATAGCTACCATTTAGATAAATTGCATTTATGATGTTTGCTTTTTAATGGTAAGGGCTGGATTAGGATGTAAGGAAAGGGTATGTTTGGAAATGGTGCTGTACGTTACATGTAGATGCTTTTTAGTTATGATATTTGTTGTACTTAGAAAAACATCTCTGCGCTTACAGACCCAAGTTCGACCTGGGTGACCAGCTCCAGGATTTACTTTAGCCGCTACGAAACTCTACTTTTGTAGTTCCTGAACTGTTCCAAAGGGGCATCTTTGCTGCTCTCAGACCTGCTACAAAAGGCTGAAGCTTGCTTCCACCCCTGTACAGGTGTCCCCAAGCCTTGGCTCATTCCGATCTGATCCACCATAAACAAACGCAGCTGTGAAAAACCTTATGGTGCAGCTGAGTTTCCATGACTGCTCGGAATTGCAACTTTATGAACCTCACCAAAAACACTCATAAGTGAAAAGATATACAAGTACAAGCTTTGTCCCCCAACCTTTGCTTCAAATTCTCATCTGGCTTATTATATTCAAATGCACACAGGTCAGAAGCCTTATGGCTGCACACTGTTTACCGAGGCCTTGCATCAGAATTGAAATCTGATCAACCACAGGTGAAAGGACATACAAGTGCAAACTTTGATCTGAATTTTCGTATCCCTCCGTAACCGAGTGCGCACGGGTGAGAATGACATTTTGATCCGCCACAACCTAGTGTACTTTAAAGTACACTAGTACACTAGCTGCAAGTTTAGCCTTCCATGTTTTGTAACATGTGAAATCATTTGACTCATGCAGAGATATACACCATTTCAGTTGAAGTGTATAAATGCATGCGGTGCCCTAAAATGACATTAATGCATTGGCTTAAAGAGTACAGCAATGTTCCTGTAGATTTTATGATGCATCCGCCTTATGCTAATCTGATCCACCATAAACAAACACAAAGCTGTGAAAAACCTTATAGTGCGGCTGTGTCTCTGGATGACGAACCTAAGGGCGATTGCATTAATCAGGTGGCAGGGAATGGCCTTTTGCGCTGTCGACTTCTCAGAACGGTTGGTTGCATATCCAGTATGGTTACCACATTGATTGTGCACACATAGCCGAACTCTTGCATTGCTACAAGCCTTTCATCTGAATGCTACTGTTTGTAATCACATAAATGTGTTGACAAGTAGGAAGCAATTCCTTGCCAGAAGTGATCAAGGGGTTGGTCAGTGTAATGACAAACCTTTAAAATTTTCAATAGATTGAAATAGGTCAATGTAGCTCATTTGAGGTTTCGTCTCATGTTTGTTTTTACTCCTGTCTGTATAAAAAATAAGCACTTGCAGAAAATAAATCTGAGCAGATTTTCTTTCGATTATCAAAAAAAGAATCAGTTTTAATTTCTATACTGGCTTTTTTCTGCTTTTGCGATCCTAGTACCCTAGTGTAAAGTAATTTTTTCGGTTTTAATTTTTTCATCCTGTAGCATGCCCTTCCGTTTTAGCAATCAACTCGGCTTGGAAATGATTTTTGAGTGTGTGTGCACTGCAGCGGTTCCTGCTCCTAATTTGAACTTTGCTATACTCGGGAACAATGTTTTTTTGGAATTACCGTCAAAGGCACTGGCACGCATTCCTCTCCGATTTTGAGCACTTATGGAAGTTGTGCGTGCGCTCTCTTCTCCGAAAGGCAGAGAAAAGCTATCCCCCTAGTATACCGTAAAATACCGGGCAAGCGCCCACTTAAAATTTAGAGATGATCGCAAAAAATGGGGAATGGGCACTTGTCCGGTCATTAATTTTACACATAAATGTACTGTGCATATTTTCTCAGATCTTAGAAACTTGTATATCGGCGCTTAATGTGGAATGGGCGGATGCATGGTATTCTACGGTAGTCGTATTCCCACACCACCAAGCAGGTTTTACAATGGACAGCGTGTCAAATTTTAATACTCCATAATGCATGTTCAACACTCTGTTGAAGGAGGGATGTAGAGAACTGAACTGGCTTGAACTCGCTTGTATTATAAGTGTTCTTACTTGTGACAAGTATGTAGCGCCCCCCTCCAGTCCGCCCGTCTGCGGCCGCCTGGCTCGGTGGGCAACATTGTTCACCGCGCTAATAAACACCGTTGAGCACACGTGCTCCGGTCAGTCATCGTCCACCCTCACAACCAGGCTGCGTGTCGTCTCTCCTCGGCGGGTGCTTCGGCCCCCTTCGTCCACGTTCGAGAAAGATCGTGACACTGGCGACGAGGAACCGTGGCACTGGAGGCCACCAACGTGCACGGTTCGGCCCACGCCGCCGAGAGAGTCGCAACACCGCCCTCCGCTCCTGTCGCCATGCCGCTGTACGGGAGGCTCGAGCCGTTCGAGGGAGATGGGTCCGCCTGGCCTGTCTACGAAGAACAAGTCCACGTGTTCTTCGAGGCGAACGACACGCCCGAGGCGAAACAGCGGGACATCTTCTTGGCCAGCTGCGGGACCCGCATCTTCAGCCTCCTGCTCGACCTCCTCAAGCCGGCCGCGCCGCACGTCAAAATGCTGGGTGAGCTGCTCGCCACGTTGCGCTCGCACTTCAGCCCGGCGCCATCCACGCTTATGGAGTGGTTCCGCTTCAACAACCGAAGCCGCCGGGACGGGGAGACCCTCGGGCAGTTCGTCGCTGCGCTACGAGGGTTAGCGAGCACCTGCGCCTTCGGCGACCAGTTGGACTCGCTACTCCGGGACCGGTTCGTCTGCGGCATCAACAACCCTGCCATGCAGACGCGACTCCTGGAGCTCCCCGACCCCTCGCTGGACGACGCGGTGAAGGCAGCGCAGGAGATGGAAGCCGCAGCAAAGGACGCCAGCGAGATTGCGCGTGCGGCCGGCTCACCGTCGACGGAAGCAGCAGAAGCGGCGGTGAACAAGATGGCGACAAGGAGCGGTGCCTGCAGCCGCTGCGGTGCTGCCCACTCCCCCTCGCAGTGCCAGTTCGTCCAAGCACAGTGTTTCACGTGCGGGAGAACTGGGCACCTCGCACGTGTCTGCCGAGGGGGGAGGACGAGCGGCGGCCAGCAGCAGCAGCCTGGTTCAAGCCCGGGTTCCAGCCAAGCCCGCGGCCAGGGTGGTCGTCGCAAGAGAACGCGGCGGGGACGAGCGGCACCAGGTCCGGGTTCGTCTTCAGCCAGGGTCCACGTCGTGGCCGAGGACCCGCAGATTTTCGACGTGTGGCACACCAGGAGAATTTCATCGTCTGTGCCACCATACATGGTGTCTGCCGAAATCTGCGGCCACCCCATCACCATGGAGCTGGACACAGGGGCCAGCGTGTCTGTCATGCCCGGGAAGCTGTTCAAGCGGACCTTCCCCGGCGTGTCTATCGAGGCGTCTGACGTCATGCTGCGCAACTACTCCGGGCAGCTTTCCCAGGTCCAGGGTCGGGCCCAAGTCAGCGTTCGCCTTGGCGACAGGGAGGCAATCCTTCCCCTTTATTTAACCAAGGGGTCGTCGCCGACGCTGCTGGGCCGGAACTGGATTCACTCGCTGGGTGTTCGGCTGCCGGAGTACCAAGAAGCTGCGCTGCATGTGGTGAAGGACGTCTTGAGTCTCCTGACCGACTTCCAGTCCCTGTTCCAGCCGGGGGTGGGCACCTGTGCCGGCACGACGGTCGGCATCCACGTACCCGAGGGAGCCCGGCCTCGGTTCTTCAAGCCGCGTCCGCTGCCGTTCGCCCTGAAGGGCGGGGTCACCCAGGAGCGGCAACGGCTGCAGCGAGAAGGAATCCTGGTGTCCGTCAAGTCTTCCGAGTGGGCCGCACCGATTGTGCCAGTCCTCAAGCAAGACGGCCGCGTCAGGATCTGCGGGGACTTCAGGGTCACCATCAACCCCGTCGCTACCGTCGAAAAGTACCCGCTGCCTCGGGTAGAAGATCTCTGGTCGGCCCTGTCCGAGGGACAAGTTCTCCAAGCTCGACCTTCGAGATGCCTACCAGCAGCTGGTGCTCCAGGATGCCGCCCGGAAGTATGTCACCATTTCAACAACTATGGGACTCTTCCAGTACACGCGCCTACCATTCGGCGTGGCCTCAGCCCCAGCCATCTTCCAGAGAGAGATGGACAACCTTTTCAGGGGCATGAGGCACGTGGCGGTGTACTTGGACGACATCCTGGTTACCGGTACCGACGATGGGGACCACCTGCAGAACCTGCGCAAAGTCCTGACACGACTACAGGACGCCGGTCTCAAGCTGAGGCTGGACAAGTGCGTGTTCCTGACCCCCAGCGTGGAGTACCTGGGACACATCATCTCCCAGGCTGGCCTGGCCCCGGCACCCCGCAAGATTGAGGCCGTGCTCAAGGCGCCGAAGCCCAAGAGCAAGAAGGAGCTTCAGAGCTACCTCGGCCTCATCAACTTCTACAGGAGGTTCCTGCCCAACCTGTCGACGCATCTGGAGTCGCTGCATCGCCCACTTCATGATGGGCAGCAGTGGGCCTGGAAGAAGGAGCAGGACTTGGCCTTCCAGCGCAGCAAGGAGCTGGTCGTTAAGGCTCCAGTGCTGGTGCACTTCGACCCGGCCAAGCCTGTAGTCCTCACCGTGGATGCGTCGCCGTACGGGGTAGGAGCCGTCCTGTCGCACCGGGGTCAGGATGGTCAGGAACGCCCTGTGGCGTTTGCTTCTCGTCGGCTCCATGCGGCAGAGCAACGCTACAGCCAGCTCGACAAGGAAGGCTTGGCCCTCATCTTCGGGGTCCAGCGCTTCCACCAGTACCTGTGGGGCCAGCAATTCGAGGCGGTCACGGACCACAAGCCACTGCTGGGGCTTCTGGGACCTGACAAGGCAGTCCCAGTGCAAGCATCGCCTCGTGTGGTACGCTGGGCCTTGACGCTGGCAGCCTACAGGTACAAGCTGGTCTACCACTTTGGGAAGGACCTGGGACCTGCCGATGCCCTGAGCCGCCTGCCCCTGCCGGAGGTGCCTGCTGCCGTTCCAGAGCCAGCCGACGTGTTCCTGCTGGAGCGGGCCTACCCAGGGGTGCTCACCAGGACTGCGGTGGAGCAGGCGACCAGCCGGGACCCGGTCCTGCCTCAAGTGGTCAAGGCGGTTGCCCGAGGGGAGGAACTGCGTCACCAGGCCTACAGCCACAAGACCGCCGAGCTGAGCTTGGAGCAGGGCTGCCTGCTGTGGGGTTCCAGGGTGGTGATTCCACAAAGTCTGCGGGCCAAGGTGCTGCAGTTGCTGCACGCGGGGCACCCTGACATTGAAGAGACCAAGATGGTGGCACGGTCGCACGTTTGGTGGCCTGGCTTGGACCAGGACATCGTGCACCAGGTGCAAGGCTGCCAGGTCTGCCAGGAGAACCAGCGAGCCTCGCGCCACGTGGAGATCACCCCCTGGCCGTTCCCACAGAGGCCGTGGTCCCGCTTGCACGTGGACTATGCGGGATCCTTCAAGGGCCACTACTTCCTGGTGGTAGTGGACGCCTTCTCCAAGTGGGTGGTGGCACTGCCAGTCACCAGTCCATCGGCAAGCGCGACCATTGCGGCTCTGCGGCAGGTCTTCGCGGCGCAGGGATTGCCGGACATCATTGTGTCCGACAATGGTCCCGCTTTCGCTAGCGCCGAGTACCTGGACTGGCTGCAGAGGAATGGGATCCGCCGGATGCTGGTTCCGCCGTACCATCTTGCTTCCAATGGTGCAGCCGAGCGAGTGGTCCAGACCATCAAGGACAAGCTCAAGAAGAGCCAGCCCGGAGATTTCCGAATGCAGGTGGCCCGGGTACTGTTTCAATACCGGACCACACCGCATGAGGTCACTGGCCGTGCCCCCTGCGAGCTTCTGCTGGGCCGGATGGTCAAGACCCCCTGGACGTCTTGCATCCAGACCTCCGGTCCACGGCGCTCCTGAAGCAGCTGAAGCAGAAGCTGGCTGCTGACCGAGGGTGCCGTCCCGGGCCTTTGCCGGAGCCGGGAGCGTCGGTGTACGCCAGGAACTTCCGTCCTGGCCCACCATGGTCTGCCGGGCGTGTGGTTTCACCAGCGAGTGCCTCGTCGCTGCTCGTCCGCATGCCCGACGAGACCACCTGGCACCGGCACGCCGACCATGTCAGGCCTCGCTCCGGGACCTGGCTTGCACCCTCAACCGTCGCTTCGGAGGACCAGCCTGCAGGGGGCCCAACAGCACCAGTCGTGGCCAGCGGAGCGCCACCCACCCCGGAGGCGACAAGCATCGCCACTCCTGTGGCACCAGTGCCACCCCCAAATCCGGTCCCTGCAGCTCCACCGGGTGGAGCGCGACCGATTCAGGCAGCGCCCGGCGTTGCCACACCTGGCCCGTCGACACCAGTGCCCAGGCAGAGTGCACGGCAGCGGAGGCCACCTGACCGCTACTCGCCGGGGTGACCTTCATCGTCGACAGGCCGGGACTTTGCATGACCAGACGCCGAGATGGTGTCGGCCGTGCGCGCTGTGTATTTAGTTATTTTGTTTTTTAGAGAAACAAACTGGGGGGGAGGAATGTGACAAGTATGTAGCGCCCCCCTCCAGTCCGCCCGTCTGCGGCCGCCTGGCTCGGTGGGCAACATTGTTCACCGCGCTAATAAACACCGTTGAGCACACGTGCTCCGGTCAGTCATCGTCCACCCTCACAACCAGGCTGCGTGTCGTCTCTCCTCGGCGGGTGCTTCGGCCCCCCTCGTCCACGTTCGAAAAAGATCGTGACATTACTTCCTTTCCTCCACTGGCACCTTCATAATCATGTATTTATATGACACCTGCTTTGAGATATTGCTCTTGTGTTTAAGTTATCACAATTTTCTGTTGCTCTGTATTCTTGTTCTTGATACAGTCAAACCCACTTATAACGATCCCACATATAACAAACTATTGGTTATAACGACCAACTTTCAGAAAATATACGGATTCAAGGCTCTCCCCATTAAAATTTGTCCCGATAAAACGTCCGTTTTTCAAAGCATTATACTGTTGCAACGAACACAAAGTCCGCTTTCGAAAGAAAAAAAAAAAAAAAAAAAAAAACCCAAGCGGAAAAAGGAAAAAAAAAAAAAAAAAAAAGAGAGCAAAGATTAGAAGAGCTACATTCCGGGCGCGGCGGTCCGCGAGACGCTCAAGGTCATTTTCACGGCCTTGGCATCGCAGCAGGGGAGAAAACAACTACAAAAGCAAAAATGCCCTCCCGGGTCTGCTCCCGGATCGCGTAGTCTGCTCATTGAGCTTGCGCGGGAAAGAGAAGAGGAAGAGAAAGTCAACTCTCATACCGTGCTGCGTTCGTTTGTTCTACGTTTGCAAACTCAAACTCTGTATGCAACTCAAGAAGAGCTCAACGTTTGGTACAAGTTGGCTAGCCTCATCGCCATCGTGACAGTTTGTTTGTTTGCCATTTTGGTATCATGCACATTCTCTCGCGTCTACGGACTCGTGTCTGTCGTTTTAAGATGGGAAAAAAAAATCTTTTAAACGAAAGGGCATCACGCTGGCGGAAAATGACAACGGAGCAGCACTGCGTGGCCTCGCAATCCCAACCACCTGACGAGCTCGCAACCCAGTTAAAAATAACCATTGACTCCAATGAACCTTTTCCAAATACCGACGGCACCAGGCGGTGGCTGCACGAACCAAAAATCAAGGAAGTGACCTACCTCCGCTACCATCCATAATGGGAGCTACGTTACCAGTTGCTTCGCTCTCTGAGCAGCGTCGCGTGCCCAACGCAACGAGGTAGGCCTAGTGCGACTTTTAAGAAGGAAATCCGTAGCGTTCACCCAAACGTCGTGTTTTTCTTTCCGTCCACTTTCTTTTTTTGTGTAACACAATTATATATATGCTGCAATTACGTGTTCTACTCGTCGATTTACAGCCTCATTCCGAATTTCCTCGATTTTTTCGTGCCGACTTCCACCGCTTGGCATCGGGCGCTCGCGCGTGCGCAGAACGCTTCTCGGAAAGGTCCATTAGGATATTCAATTGGAACCAATTGGAGTCAATGGAATTCAATTGGTTCTGGGTCGTCCAACTGGTCATTCTAATTAGTTTCAATGTTTCCAATTGGTCACACCAATAGGCCATATGCGAAATTTAGAGCGCCATCTAGTAGCGCGCCGAGAACTACGTCCGCCATCTTGTTAGTGGCGAGAAAACGAAACCAGAGACCCGACCGGCAAAGACCCCATGTAAACAAGCGACCGCGCTTCATGCGAGAGATGCGATGCCAATGAATGCTGCGTTCCGCTGCGGATGCAGCGATAAACCTTCGATTCATGCATGACGTGAACGCAAACGTGAACAGGGTTCACGATTTTGCCTATTTTTTGTCACTTGAGACGCAGCTTTTGACGAAAACAATCGGTGACAACGCGAAGAAACATGCAGACGTTATCGCGCGGCGTGCAGCCATTTACAACTATTGAACTGAGCCCTAATCTTTTTTTTATAAGTTGTACCAAATCTGTTTATGACCTTTTTTTTATTTTATGTTCGTTGTAGTGTCGGCCTGCCTTTTTCTTGATGCGCAAGCAGCTCAATGCATGCGGACGAGACCAAGGCTGTTAAGCGAGGCAAAAAGTTGGCTGTTTTTATAATCTACGCCACCAACCATAATTGAAGATGCGTATGGTTAACAGTGGTATGGTTAGGTCACGGTGTAGGTTAGGTTCATCGCAGTGGCTAAAACTTCAATATCGGCGGCCTCAAAAATTTACGTTGCGGAAGCCAAATGAAGCAACAGGGCGGTGCCAACTCCATTTTACAACCTCCTTTTCTTTTTTTTTGTCGCAGCTGGGGTAGAAATTTTGTTTTGTGCAAAGAAGCTCAGGGGTAGTTTTGAGAAAGTCACTGCAGTTATTCTGCCAGGGTTGAACAAATCTCCATTAATAGCGCAACATCCGTCAACTGTGCTTGAGGTCAATGCTATCTGAAGCCAATTTTAGCCCTTTGCAACGCTTGCAAAATATTGCTCTGGGCACAGTTTTTTTTTAGAACACAGAGTGTTCCACCAAAAAACCTCCGCCAGTAAGAACTAAAAAAAAGGGGGGAAAAAAAAACTAATTTTGAGTTATGTATTTGCGTGGAGCAGTATACCGCTAAACAGTACGACTTCAAGCGTATTCGCATCGAAAAAGGAATTAAAAGTGTTCTCAAAGCTGAAAAGCATGACGGCATTTGCAAGATGGGCTACGGGGCGCTTCCATCTTGAATGATCGTGGCGCCGCCTAGCGTGCGGCGTGTCTCCGAGGGGCTGGTGTGGGTAACTTTGCCAATCGTCCAGCAAACCCAATGTGAATGCTGTGAGCGATTTCCGCTTTTACGTGTTTTGTTGACTTTTAGTAACATGTTTTCGGTTTTATTTGGTGGGTAGTTATCCCGAAGCCTTTTTAATCCGTTCGTGCGCCTTTGCGACCGTGAACAAGCCATATATATTTTTTTTCAAGCTCGTTTTCCTTTGCGAGCCGTGGCGATGGTTTCGACGAGCGACGCCTGGGATTCTTTGGATTTCTTGGTACTTGACGGTAAGCTTATGTAATCATTTTGTTTACAGAAATGTAGTATAATTAATTGTAGCATTCACATTAGTAAAACCTATCAAGACGTTAGGACCGCGAGATCGAACCGTTCATGCTTTGAACTGCCGTCATGCCGCGGACCTCGGCGCGACTCGGACCTCGGGGAGTTGGAGCATAGCGTTATTGCTGGCTGCGAACACGGTCGAGCATCGCGCTTTTAAGAGCGTGCTTCGGAGTAGTAGCGAGAGCTCCGGTTGAGTGACGACGGATCACGGCAGCGGTATGCTCAAACTCCACGCGCCCGAGATGTGCTCGGGCAGTGTGCTCGGGCAGATTTGAGGTCGCACAAAGAACTGCAACTTCATTGCACATGAAAGAAAAAAAAAAAAAAAAAAATTGAGTACGACAGTGTGCTAGTGCGGTGGAAAGGTGGAGGCCCATGCAGGGGTCCCCCCAGGAATTAAAATTAAATGTGGTGTCTAGAATTTTTTTTTTTTTTGGGGGGAGGGGGGGTAGAGGGAGGGGCAGGGGCAGGCTTGGCGAAGCGGGAGGCGGCATTGAGGTTTAGAAAAACAAGGGGGGGGGGGGGGTGTAGGGAAATCACTGGGCCCATGCATCTGGTGTGCCTACCGAACTGACCTATCATAGCCCTAACAAATAAAAATAAAAGGGGGGGGGGGTGAAGAACGATGACTACAACAATCATTTTACACAAGACGACAAGTTAAACAACCTTAAATGGCATGCGCTACATTATGCTGTAGTTTGCGAATGTCCTCTTGGCTGGCAGGAATCACAGCAGTCAGGGAGTCGGGCAGGTTTCTAAGTAGACATGACCGTGCTCGCTTGCGCTAGAGCTTACTGCCATTAGTTCGGTAAAATTACAATGCGGGTAAGCAAAAAATGTGCCACGCGCACTGCCCTTTAAACCGCCCAGTGGCGAAGAAAGAAAGACTCAATATAGGAATTCTTTCAACGACTTCGCCTTACAATACAAGCCGTTTTAAATAATGTCAATCATGAGCACGAACTGTTAAAATGCAGCTTTAATTAACTCTGCCTCATGTGATCACGAGTGGCACAAACGCATTATTGAGTAGCAGTGTCTGGAAAAACATTAACTATGCTAATTCTGTTTAGGAACAAAATTTCATTACAAAGTGAAATATTGCTAAAAATAGCTTCTTTGTCCTATATCGAAAATTCAATGTTGACCGATACTTGGACATACACGAGTCGTAAGCATTGATCGTCTTTTTTATTCCTTTCAGAATCGATGTCCTACGTGCATCCTAAGGAGGTGTCAATGTGGGAGGACAATATGAAGTCGTGGCCACCCATAGAGAAGCCGGATATCGTCTTCTACTTGGTCCACTCAAAGGCCTGCGATCTTCAGGAGGTCAGAGCGTACAAGAGCCTAGAGTCGTATCTCTACCTGACAAGCGGCCTCGTGGGAACTGTCCTTCACCACAGAATAAGCGACCAGCTGGGCTACTTCAAAGCAGAAGTGGGTAGATCCCAGTCCTTTAATGCTGCTCCACACAAGGCATGGGCATGCGTGCACACCACTGGTCGGGTAGTTACAGGAGGCTGTTCCTGCATGGCTGGCCAGGCAAAGGTGTGTAGCCATGTTGGGGCCATCTTGTGGAAGATGGAGCATGCCTTTGCGAACAAAATGACGGGCACAGCTTGCACCGACGAAGCTGCCACCTGGAACGGAGGTACCAAGAAAAACGTAACGCCAACAAGCCTCGACAACATTTCGTTTGGAAAGAATGAGCAAAACACAGAAATTCTTGGGACCGTAGATGTGCTGCAGTTTCACACACATGAAGAGTACCCTCATCACATTGAAGACGGCCCCCTTGCAGGGCTCATGAAAATACCAGGGACCTTGTTTCATGAGACACTGATGGCACCTCCACGAGACCCTCCAGCAGCACAAGACCCTTCAGCAGTTCAATGCGACGCAATACCTCTTGCTCACAGCAGCCACGAAGATGCGACCACCCTTCCAAACAGCTGTCCTGCCTGCTGGGAGGCATACAACGAGCTTGTTGCCATCAGTGCACCTAGTATGGACCTGCTCTGCAAAAAAACAGCGGACCAAGGCAACTGCACACTCTGGCACGAGAGCCGCCGCATGCGGTTAACGTCGTCGATGGTTAAAAGAATACCAATACTGGCATCAACTGACCCTTCCAAGGCTGTGAAGGACATACTTCACCCATCCTTTCGAGGGAATCAAGCGACGGAGCACGGCCGCCGCAGTGAGCCCAAAGCTAGGAGGAAATTTATGCTTGACCACCATTGCACCGTGCGACAAACGGGCCTGGTTGTTTGTCCGGAGCTCCCATGGCTCGCAGCCAGCCCCGATGGCATCATTGATGGAATTGACGCTCTTTTAGAGATAAAGTGTCCAAATGTATTGAACTGTGAAGACCTTCTAAATTCCGGAAAATACGACATAAAAAAGAATGGCAATGGCATTTTCGAGCTGCGACCAAAGGGAAGAAACAAGTTCTATTATCAAGTTCAGTTTGCAATGCACTGCACTGGAAAGACCGTCTGCCACCTCTATGTGTGGTCAGAGGGCCACGACGAGGTTGTAGTTGTCCCCTACAACAAGGACTTCATGAAGTGCCACCTACAAAGAGTGAAGAACTTCTACTTCAAGAGCCTGTTGCCGGCGTTTGTGGAAGACGTTAACTCTGGAAAGATAACGCTCTCAAATGAGTACAAGCAGCTTGCACGTATGTAATGGACCGAGGCAGACAGGCAGTGCAGTATTCTTTATTTTTTTATACAATGTGTGATGCTTGAAAGTTTTGGCAGTAAAAAGTTTGATTGATCAAAAGATAGAGGTACACTTAAGCATTCCTTATGAGTTGTGAATGCGAAAGCATGCAAGCCGCTCGTCCGCTCCCTTATTCGTCCCTCAATGTAGATTAAAATCTATACATTGAAATCCCACCGCGCCGTGAAAATTGGAACCCACTAATTATTCCAAAACTTAAGGTTTGACCTGAATAGCGAAATACTGAGCCCGCAAAAAATAAGTTATTTACAGTATATAAAGTTGAACAGGTGATTGCCGACGGCCCCATACTGGCAGTACCATGGAGTGAAGGCCAAAGCTGCTTGCTTGCCTTGTGAACGACACGTGACAAGGCGTGGAATGAGGACAGTAAGCTGCCATGGCCACTTCTCCAGGGTGCTGCCAGTATACAGTTGTCAGCAACCACCTTTTCACCTTCATATGGGCAAAGTGCTGGGGAGAACATCACTTTTTGATTAAAGGCCCCTTCAGGTTGCACAACCCTGCACATACAAAAACTATGTCGCTTGCAACCTTGCGATGCTGTATGGGGAGTGCTTGCTTCAAAATCCTGTAGGATTTTATCCTATTTATTGCCCGCTCTACGTGAATTCGGACAGACGCAATCCTCCTAGTCTCCGTCACCTCTTGTTCGGATAACTGAGCCTTCCCTCGAGTGAAGGCTGGCGTGTTGAGTGCTACTCCCTTCGCTTCCATTTCGGGGTCAAGAGAAAAACCCCTGTCGGCCATCACATGATCGCCATGTTCAAAGTGTGAAATGATTCCAGAGTCTCTTACAATATGCTTGTCCGACGCTCGTCCACCGTAGACCTTGGACACGAACATCACCGATCCGTGGGGTGCAATAGCCACCAAAAACTTCACAGTGTTGTGGCCTTTGTATGAGCTATACGTCTGTGCCCGAGCGAGCAATTTTTTCGGTCGCTGCAAGAACACCTCAGTGCAATCCAAGATGCAAGTAGTGCCTGCAAAACCATTCTCCTCAAAGGATCGCGGAATGTTTCTGAAGATAGTGTCTCGAGAGAGCCACACCACTACATTCCTTAGGACTTGCCCTAGTGTAGCAAGCATGGCGCGAAAAATGTTCCCTACAGTTGAAACCGAAACTGCAAACCTCCTCGACAGATCGCCATATATAAGGCCGAGCCTCAACTTCATTAGCGTGAGCAAAAGCTGCTGCTCAACAGGCATCATAAAATTAGTTGTAGCAAACTGTGGCACAACTTTCACCAACTCCTTGAAGACGTCTGCATGGAGACCGGTATAAAAAAAGATGTCTCGATCCTCAAGGCTATAGCCACTATGAAGAGCAGGAGTCGCAGCTGGAGCTTTGGGTTTCGAGTAGGCGTGGTCGCGATGGCATGTGTCTTCTCGCTGGACCCCCTGGCGGCACACATCTGACCGAATTTGGCTGCCATGATCAGTTGCCTGTAAACAAAATCAGTCTATCAATTGAGACAACATGCTTATCGCGTTAAGCAGACCAGGCTTCTGCTCACATCGATTCGGTTTTGAATTAAACCTACTGTGTGCTCAGGAGTAGACTCCCATGATGTTGAGGCCAAATCGCTTTCGACAATTTGCTCGACCTCTTGCATGTAGTCGGTGCTCTGAAAGGAACAACTTTTTATCCCCAGCACGCAAGATATGTTTCTCACATTAAGTAGATCCTGTTGCTGCCTACGTCACTTAGATTATGTATTAGACCTACCGAGTGTTCAGGAACAGCTGGCCCTGAAGTTGAGGCTAAAGAGATGATCTGCTCGACCTCTTGCGAGGAGTCAGTGCTCTGAAAGGAATGCAACAGCATTTTATGGTCACTAAAATAAGTTAGCATGCTTGATATGTTTATTACATTAAGGGGCCCTGCAACAACTTTTTGACTAGTTTTTAATTTGCACCGAACCTGAGCGGACTGAACGTAGTAACTTAATGAAACTTTTCTTTTCTCGAATTTCGCTTTATTTTAGAAGTTATAGGCAAATTAAAATTACAAAAACAAGCAAAAAAATAACCTCCTTCATGACGTCGTTGGTCGTGGCTTGAGTGATTGTGAACTAGAGGAGAGGTAGTGAGCTCAGCGAGCGCTCACGGCTGCCGCACTCCGTGTCAACAGCTCGAGGGGGCGCCACTAAAGCATGTGTTGGATAGGCTGTATGAAGCGGGCGTTCGGGGCGGCTTGCATTGCATCTGCTGCGCAATTAAAGACTCATTCGGCACTTCATTGGCCACAAATGACAGCAAATACGGGGTAAAGATCGGTTCAGAACAGGAGCCACTTCGCGCTGCCATACCGCCAAACAGCCTAATCGCAAGCCAAACCTGTGCCGAAGGCCTTCGGAATGCTCGGAACCGGTAGGACCCTCAAGCCGGTTACGACCGTAGCGCCACCGCGTACATCCCAAACCTTTCTACGCTCGCCGCTCGTCAATGCCCGATCCCACTACCCCTTCCTAGTATGCGCCGCCTTTTCCACCGCTTGGTGGCGGGTATGTCGACGAGTCATTTCTTGTTTCTGTACTTTATAAACTGCATTGGTTTCTTTTCTGATCTAAAATACTAAACAAAAACTACTCTCACAAAATAATTGAAACGGTTCGCGCCACTTATATTTTGTATTTCGACTAAAAAGAAGCTTTTCGTGGCTCTGACCAGTAGTTAGGCCAGGACCAAAGACCTCACATATCGCGCGCTTTCGGCACCGCGGGTCGCCCCCGTATGGGGAGGAGGTTTCCGCGTCGTCCCGTTAAAATAGGACGCAGTGATATTAAGTAACTCTCTCCGTGCCCGCTGGCTTGCCCGAACCCCAAGAGACGTGGAAACCGCAAAAAAGTTAGACGCTTAAAGGGACACTGACACCCCCCAAAATTTTTTTTTAATTATTTGCCAGGCGCTTCATTATGGTGTCGGAGGACTGCCCAATTAATATTTTGCAACAGAGTAGCATATTTTTTTAGTAAAGCCAAAAGACGCAACTGCTCAAAACCGAAACCGAAACCCGACGGAGGTCGGAGAAGTGGAGAGAAGAGAGCGAGTGGCGGAAATCACGTGGCTACACCCAACTGTGTTTTTTTTTTTTTTTTCTCCTTCCCGGTAGCAGACGACATGCGGCGTACGGGAACTGTTCGCCGTGGGATTTTTTGCAGTTATGTATGTTCCGCTCGTTGTTCTGTACTCCAAGATGAGTTGTTTTGTATATTGAGGAGTTGGAGATGAGTAGTGAGTGCCCGTGGTGAATTTTGATCGGCTCCGAAAAGAATACACCCAAGATGTTGCGTGAAGAGCTGGCTCACATGTCCTGCGTCCGAAACAGAAGTGGCATTGTGCGACAGAGTTTCGAAAGATCAACGGGATCGGGACCAATGGCTGGCTGCAATTCCTGTAGACCATTTACGGGCACCTCGGAAAGCGGACGCTACCTGATTTATATGCTCCTTGTATTTTGTGGAAAGTGATTACATTGAGTTCGCAGGTGTCAAAAAGGAAATCCCATACCATTTAATTCAGCGACGTGTCGTCCACAACATTGGTTTCTTCTTTTTTTGTGTGTGTTGTTTCTTCAGTGATAATTGGAAAAAAGAAAAGAAATGTAGCCATCGAAAAACACATGAAAAAAATAAAAAAAAAGTTTCACCGGGGATCGAACCCGATCGTACGGGTTCGATCTGGACGTCTTCCCCACTAAGCTACTGGGGCATATCGAAACAAGGGATCTCTTTCCTTAGTAATAATTCAGCCGATAAACTAAGTTGGAAAGTTTGCTACCGATTTTCCTTTAGCAAAAGCACTGCCGGGTCGAAGTCGGGATGCACCCCGCATTGGCGACATTCTCACCTTGTAAAGAAATCGTACGCGTGCATATTCAACTCGAAGTAGACACGTCGTGCTTGACGTTTGCGCGAGCGATGTCTTCAGCCACGAGAAGGGAGCGACGGCTCGGCGACGTCTTCGTGCAAATCGGCTTGGTGGTCGGGCGTGTCGTATGGGATGAAGACCAATTCTTTTGATCAGTCCCAAATTTCTCTTTCAAATGCAGACAAAATTCACCGGTACCGCGAACGACAGTTCTGAAATAGAGGTCCCACGCCCGTCGTCCGCTGCCATCGCGTCCCTGCGAGTCCCACGACACGCGAAACGACGCACGCACAGAATGCTTCCGGTTGTCTGTGAAACTTTTTTTTCAATCAACGTATTCGCAGCTTTTTAGAAGCCACAAAAAATGGGTTTCATATTTTTTTTTCTATTTTTAATATTGAGTGTGCGCCTTCAGTGACCCACGACTTTGATTAAATTTGGTGGTCGCATCGATACCTTAGAAAACGGCCCGTGACCGCGGAAAAGAGAGTGAGCGAGACTCGAACCGGCCAGTTCTTGATCGGCGGTTTTCGGGTGGAAAGAAACCAAATTTCGAGCCGCAAATTCTGTTCTGGGTAGATGAGCTCTCATATGTCACGTACAACTAAAAACCTCGGCGAGCATAAATACCCTGTCACTGTCCCTTTAAGCAGATAACGCTGCTGCTCACATTAATTGAAGTATGTATTAAACGTACCGAGTGTTCAGAAGTAGCTGGCTCTGATATGGAGGCCAAGGCGATGATGCACTCGACTTCTTCTGTGGAGCTGGTGCTCTGAAATAAATGCAACAATGTTTTATGCCCAATAATTGGGGTTCCTTGTTTTCGGAGTTTATTTTTCATTAAATTCAAAGGATGGTTTTCAGAGTTTATTTTTTGCCGAAGATTCTGAGTTTATATTTATTTGATTCCCAATTCTCGGAAATTCTGAGCTTAATTTTGCAGTGTTTCCTATTAAAAACAAATAAATAAATAATAACCAGATGTAAACGTGTGCCAGATAAAAAATAAAACGCGCTTGTATCATTTAAAATTTCTTCAGTTGAGTTTGGCGCAGGTGCCATTGCCATTGGCAATACTAATTTGTCCCACGACAAAAGTCGCACACAAATGTTGCTTCGATAAACGTCGGTACCTTAGAATCAATAAAGTCCAGGGGGTAGTGGCTAGGAAGCTCGTAGTCATACCCACCTATTTTATCAATCTAGAACGCGGCCGCGCGAGGTGGAGTGGTTAAGGATGTAATAGAGAAGTTTCAACTGCCCCTCTTCCCTATTTTATACAATCTTTATGGTCCATAGCTTTCACCGTTACAAAAACATATCCTCTCCTTTCTCTAAATCACAAATCGCATGGCTCAAACCAGAAACCAAAAGAGTGGCTTTTGTCGTGACCCGTATGTACAATGACCTGTTGCCCTGAATCAACCTTGACGAGGCAAGGAGTAAGACCCCATTTGACAACGGTTCGAAATTTGAAAGATAATTATGGTGGCATTTACCCAGGAACATTGACCCTGCGCTAATGAAATTGTAAAAAAAAAGTTTTTTTACTATTTTCTTTTTTTTTTCGGGAAGGGGGGAGCGGCATTGGCACATAAAAATTTGGTGTTTATCGGATAAATCCCAATTGACCAGAATTTTACCGGCGGGTAATGTTCTGAGTTTTTCGGACTTATCCCGAAACACAGAACCCTACCAATAATGTAAGTTACCATGCCAGATATGTTTATCCTAATAAGCAGACCATGCTGCAGCTTGCATTAGTTAGGTTGTGTAATAAACTTGCCGAGTGTTCAGGAGCAGCTGGCCCTGATGTTGATGCCAAAGCGATATAATTGGGTTGTGGGGATATTAATACAGCGTGTAGTTGGTCTGCCATTAAGGTTGCGACGAGTCACACGCTGTAGATGAGCAATTTAGCCAGTGCGGTACAACCGCTAGCCTGGGGTCTTTAACGTGCACCACGCAGTAGTGATACACGACCGCACGCCGGTACGATGCTCATCCAGATCGAAACGGGCAGGGGTGGGGCTCGAACCCAGGATCCCTGGGTTCTGCAGCGCGAGCTTTCGCTCCACGTGCGTCGAGCTGGGTGTGCGCTTTAGCCCACTCGGCCACCGATCCCCCATGCCAAAGCGATCTTGTGCTCGGCAGTGGAGTCGGTGCTCTGAAAGGAATGCAACAGCTTTTTATTCGGGGTGTGCAAATATTGATAATCTCGAATTCGAATCTAATATCAAGGGAAAGCACCTCCGAATATTATACTGATTATTGAATATGTGAGCAGTATGGAAAAATTAAAAAAAAAAGACGAACATGCGAATAATTTTGTTTTTATTATATTTTGGCCCAGTGATGACCTTTTATATTAGGAAGTAAATAAAACGATCTGTCTAGGCAGCATGTAAAAAAAATCTTCTAAATAGTCATTGCAACTTGACCAGTGATTACCCACATAAAAGGAGTAAATAAAACAATAAAACAGTCCATCAGTCCATAACTAAACAGCATAACAAAGATGCAACTGAAAATATGGTCTCAGAAATAGACTGGTATGACCTTAGAGTATGAAGGATACAACTGATACTGGGGCCATAGATAGATGACATTTAAAAATATACCAGAATATGACTATACCCGTTTTCACCTCAAGAAAAAAAGCAGGTTTTGCGCATTGTTCACATGCGGTGCAAAGTAGTTCTTATGACATTTGCTTGTCGGAGGAAACAGCAATGCTTTTGGTGTTTGGAAGGTGTGTGTCTTGATAAGATAACATAGATCTAATCTAAAATTCACTTACATGTATCTTAATTATCCACATAAAGAAGGAAATTAATAATGCTCCGCAAGGAGTCTGACTTTTTTTACGACGGCTCTTGAGGTGAAACAAGTATAGATAATACATATCAGATGTAACTTACAATTGAGTCATGCAAATTGATTGGCAAAACAAAGTGAAAAAGAAATCGAAACTACTCTGGTCTCATGAGGCAGATTTTGTGAAGTTTTTTTTTTTACGTTCAACGAAAACGGATACATAGCTTTCAGCAAATAAACGTATTCTTATATACTTCAGATTTTTCAGGGCATGTGCAGGGTACAGATTATTTTCTACTTGACCCAATATTCGCAGTTTGTCTGAATATTTGGCCGCAGCTGAATAATCGGGAACTTCTGAGCAGGCAATTCTCCAATCGAGTACGATTAGAATAAGGGAATTATTCAATTTATATTTGAATACTCGCACACCCCTACTTTTTATAGCCACTAAAATAAGCTAGGATGCAATATATGTTTATTATATTAAGCCGATTATGCTGCTGCTCACATCAATTCAGGTATGTATTAAATGTACCGTGTGTTCAGTAGCTGGCTCTGATGTGGAGGCCAAGGCGATGACGCGCTCCACTACTTGTGTGTAGCTGGTGCTCTGAAACAAATGCAACAATGTTTTATGCCCAATAATATGTTACCATGCCAGACATGTTTATCCTAATAAACAGACCATGCTGCAGCTTGCATTCATTAGGTTGTGCAATAAACCTACCGAGTGTTCAGGAGCAGCTAGCGCTGATGTTGATGCCAGAGCGATCATGTGTTCGGCAGTAGAGTCGCTGCTCTGAAAGGAGTGCAACAGCTTTTCACACTCAATGCCACAAAATAGTGCTGGACGTCGAATTTTAGGCATGCGAAGTTCGAGCTCTGAAACTAAAGAGAAATTGTGTCCTGCATAACCCCTGTGGCACTGGAGGCAATACATGTGTGTTCTCAGGGGCAGATTTAGAGGGGGGGTCCGGATGTCCTGACCCCCTCTTGATTTCTGTGTGTGTAAAATTTAGGGCGTAAAACGAAGAAGAGGGGGAGGGGGTTCCTAAACATATGGTACGCTGACCAACACCTGACCTCCCCCCTCAGGAAATTCCTGCATCCGCCCCTGTGTGTTCTAAGGATCAACACACAATTCCACATCCAGCTCCAGAAGACAGTTTCTTCCTCTGCAACGAAAATTATAATAGTATGTTTGTTCAGATCACAGACGAAAGCCAAGAACCAGTATTCAATCATGTCAGCGCTTACCTTTGTGGTCAGTGGTTCGCAACTGGCATCACGCACCAAACGGCGCCTCCCAACGACAACCTGTCAGAGAGCATAAGCGTTTTGGGCGTACTGTGTGTATCAGAACTGAGACACTAGTGTGATTAGGGTCACATTTACCTTACGCGCATACCCGAGAGAGAGCTGCGGGACGATATTTTCGTCCGTCTTCTCTCCAGCCACGAAATGGGCCGAACATACCTGGAATCGGGCATGAATGTTACGCAACAGGTAACGACAGCGATAAAGTTACGTTCCACGATAAAGACATGTTCTACTGACCCGAGTATGTTCTGTGGGCGTGAAATCCTTGCGGTTCAGCGCAGAGAGCCACCTTCCTTTCAATACCGGATCCTTGGGGAAGCGGTGGAACTTCACCACCCCGCAATTACATGACGTTTGTTGGTGGACAGCGCACAACTGCTGTCTTTAATTTTTTCTCTTTCGATGATTGTTTGAACATCCGAAAACAGCGCAGTGTACTCCCGACGACCTAGTTGGGTTATCCATCGTGCAGTCTACACGAAGTGCCTTGAAAAGAGCACAAGCGGGAAGAGCGCAGAACCGGCAGAACGCGAAAACAGAGACACAAGACCACCAGACAAAAGAACGACGAAAAAGACCTCGACAACCTCTGAGCAACGCCACAGAGCAGGAACTCTCGTTTGAGACGATGCTCGGTGGATGGATAAATAGTAACCAGAGCCGTATATGTAGAGAGTTTGGCCATTCGTTGGGAAGTATAGGAGACAAATGAAGCGGCGCCATTGGCCGAAAGCGGGCTGGGCGTGTTCCCAGGGCGTCTTCAGAAATTCGAATGTGACCAACCAGAAGCCGGAAATAATACCCTGGCGGTGGTCGCGAGCAACAAACCTGATAACTGCATTGGAGTAACTTTCGATGGCTGAAAATATGGTACACGTGATGTTTCAATCACACTCACTGATCTCAATGACAATTGCTGGATCGCGCTTGCCGCTCCCGCAAGTGAAGCCACCGGGCGTCACTCGCTTGGGATACGATTTGCCGTTTTTGCTAGCCTTTGCTGCGGTTTTCCAGCGTGCTGACGACACGTTTTGCTACTCGTTCGTCGTCATCCGCCGAAGAAGTTTTTTGAAGACTCTGTGTATTGTTGAGACTTTCCGTTGTGAACACGTGGAAAATTTTACGAAAGTGCAGTGTCGCAGGAAAAAGGCACAACGCGTCGAAAGGAAGGGCTGGCGGCGTGTTCAAAGCATCCTTGGCACGCCGAAGTGCCGTGTCTCTGTGCCTTCGCGCGCTTGGATACCGACCAAGAACCGACGCCGTGTGAATGTGTTTAGCGAGTGCAATGTGCGTGAAGCCGTATCAAAAGGTACAACTCGTCGAAAACGTGTCGCCGGTGTCGCGGCGTGATCAAAGCTTCCTTGGCACGCTGAGTGATGCATCTTTGTGCCTTCGCACGCTTGGATACCGGTCAAGAATTGACGCCGCGCCAAAGTTCTGAACGTGTGTCGCGCGTAGATGCCTTTAGATCATTTATATATATCGGCCACGGAGTTCTGGATCGTCCAGCTGTTCCGGTGAGTTGCTATCAATAAAAGGGGGAGATCTGTACGTATTCTTATGTTCTATATTAACCATGGCTATATCCCAAATCTACTCTAATAGATTCCGTGGGAGCACGAATAGGGCAACGTTGTACGTGGAGCCAGTGGGGTTTTCGAAAGCAAAAGTACAAGACGGCGAGAATGAAAATCTTTGAAGCGCGGCCGATATGGTCGTGTGCAATCTGTTGACCAATTACAATTAGGCGAGTCGCGTAGGTTGATAATAAGCCAGCACTGATCAGTGATGAGGAGCTGTTGTGCACGGTATTGTGTAAATCGTCTAAGGACGAAAAAAAGACGTACCTTCTCCCCATCCTCCGTCGCTAGTGGACGCTGGATTAAGCTCGTTCCTAAACCGCGAGGGGAAAAGACGCTGATCCAGAGGCACGAACAGCTTCACGCACATTGCACTCGCTGAACACATACACACGGCGTCGGTTCTTGGTCGGTATCCAAGCGTGCGAAGGCACAGAGACACGGCACTTCGGCGTGCCAAGGATGCTTTGAACACGCCGCCAGCCCTTCCTTTCGACGCGTTGTGCCTTTTTCCTGCGACACTGCACTTTCGTAAAATTTTCCACGTGTTCACAACGGAAAGTCTCAACAATACACAGAGTCTTCAAAAAACTTCTTCGGCGAATGACGACGAACGAGTAGAAAACGTGTCGTCAGCACGCTGGAAAACCGCAGCAAAGGCTAGCAAAAACGGCAAATCGTATCCCAAGCGAGTGATGCCCGGTGGCTTCACTTGCGCTGCAGCGAACAAGCGGGGAAGCGCGATCCAGCAATTGTCATAGAGATCAGTGATCACACTCATCTGAAATGATGGTGGAAGAGTGCGACTAGCGGAAAGATCGACACAATCCTTACGCCAAACGCCGAGCGCCGGGAATCTGCCGTCAGAGCGGTCACACTCTGTCCGCGCAAAACAGAGTTGAGCGGCGCATTCGTTTCTTACATCTTTCTGCATGATCATGATCAAAACAACACGTGCACCCTATTTTCAACCACAAAGAGTTACTACACTTCACTCTTACGCACTTATTAAGACCATATACGAACAGAGACCTTCGATGCCTTCGATGATCGATCGGCTCAGAATTGTTTCTCGCTACCACCGCTAGGGGATCCTTTTCGACTTCTGGTTGGTCAAGAGAGCATGCCAAGCCTTCTTTCCGAGTCTGCCGCACGCCCTGGCTCTGCCCGCGCCTCCCATTGACCAAACTCTCTACATATACGGCTCTGATAGTAACTGTACCGTTGTACTCTTTGTAACAGGCGGTAGCTTGCGCCACCTCTCGCTAACGATAATCGTGAGAGTGGAGCTATCGTCCTAGTTTGAGAGTAGGCCTCCATTCGGCGCGCCCATCGCGCGGTTCGAGGCTAAGTCGGTACTGATGATGATTGCGCTTGCAAACGTGTATAGTCCTTTCGGAGGCCTGTGCACACGCTGGCGGCAAGCTTCCACAGCGAAGGCGTAGGGCTTGGTCCGCTGCTTCGACGGTTGTCGCCAGCGTGCAGAGACCTCTGAGAGTTTTGTCAGACAGTTGCGGTAGGTTATTTAAACTGCTCGCCCACATAACATGGTCAGAAGGCGGAAAATAGTTACTGCGCAATCGCACATTGCCCGTGCGGCTGTCTCCGATGCCTCCATGCATGCTTCGGTGCCGACAGCGCTTGCCAACATTAAAATGGCGACACTCTCACTGTTGTCAGACCACAAAGCAATTTCGCATAAGGTCTATTAGGACCAACAAAATTCAATTGGCACTGGGCCACCTAATTGGTCACTCTAATTGGATTCAATGTTTCCAACTGGTTACCCCAATTAGGACCAACAAAATTCAGTTGGCACTGGGTCAGCTAATTGGTCACTCTAATTGGATTCAATGTTTCCAACTGGTTATCCCAATTGGGATCAATAAAATTCAGTTGACACTGGGCCACCTAATTGGTCACTCAATTGGATTCAATGTTTCCAACTGGTTATCCCAATTAGGATCAATAAAATTCAGTTGGCACTGGGTCACCTAATCGGTCACTCTAATTGGATTCAATGTTTCCAACTTTGTTTTCAATGTTTCCAATTTTCAAGTTTCCAAAGATCGCAATTTCTTTTTTTTTTTTTCAGTATTGCGTTGCAATAAATTTTTTCAACATCGCAATTTGAAATGGGGGAAAACAATTCGTACGCTGTTTAATAAAAAATAATAATAATATAAAAACGAAAAAAAAGAAAAAAAACTCTGTTGCTAGACTTAGTCGGAATTTCCGGCAGCGTCGGTGTACACTGGGCGGCAAAGATGGCACCGCGAGGACGGTGGAAGCGTAACGTTGGTGGAAGCGAAGCATGAAGCACATGGCGCCGATGGCGTGCACGGCATTCGTAGCATGGTTATGGCAAGAGTTTTTTTGTGTTTTACTGCTGCAGAGTGCTTAATGGTGCGGTGATAATTACTTCATTTGACCTGCCAGCTTGTTAGAGCGCGAAGGATTGGCAACAAACGTTTATGGGAGCAAGGTAAGAAATTTTCTTTGTCCTTGTTGCGCTGCAGTTTGGGGATTTCGGATTGTTAGATCTGCTGAGACACTCGTTGCTTGATCTTCAGTGAACGATACGAGCGTGAATGTATAGCTTTCGAGAAGAAAATTTTCCGGGCAGCTATCAGTTCGGAAGTTGTTGGGTGTCCGCGAGGAAAGTGCGTTTTAAGCATCTCAAAACTAAACTATGAATTGCTGAAAACACTGACTGGGCACAGTTTCAAAAATGGAAGCTTTGGGATTCAAAATTAAGCAATTTTGGGGGAATTTTCGATGAGTGGGGCGGTCGGTCGGTGATGTCGGGTCATTACCTCCGGAATTTGATGACTTAAAGGGACAATGAAGGCAATTTCGGACACCTTTTTGGCGATCGAACTGGCTTCCAGGCACGTCTAAGGCCACGTCGCCCAAATTTCAGCCGAAACCGACGCTTGTGTGCCGCGCAAATCAATCAAACAGTCGCGGTAATAATCGTACCGGAATCGACTGGAGCGACGCCCCGAGAGTTGCGGGAGAAGCCAGGAGAAGCGGAGCTCACGTGACCGATGCGAGGCCAAGAAGCGCGACGTCACAAGAGACGCCTCGGCGATTGGTCGAAACGAGAGACGCGCCCTCGGTCACGTTTTGGTTCTCGGTTTTTAGGAATACTGTTCTAATTTCCGCTTGAATAACCATGAAAAGAATAAATCGGACCGGAAAGGATTACTAAACCGTAAATAAAGCAGCATGATTGTTTTTTTCCTTTGCTGCGCTGGACGCGAAACGGCCAACGAGCAACTATAAGCACTTCGGCATGCGGGCCGCTCGTTACCGGCTGGGCGGTCTCCCTCGGGTGATGGCGGAGGCCGCCACACGCGTACTCCCGTTCCGTTTGCGTTGGGTTACTGAACGAAAACTCGCTCGCGAGAGCGGCATTGCCGTCCATGTTGACAGATTCGACGAAACGACCGCGCCACCGCGCTCGCGTCTCCAGCTCGACGCTCGCCCTCCCGCGGGGGAAACGGGAAGCGCTCTAGTGAGGGTCCCCCGATTCTCCTGCTCAGCGGGCATGGCGGAACTGCTCGCGATAATGGCTCGCAAATGTCATTTCCGAATGCAAACAACACTCTTCACTGTCCCAACGTAGTGCTTCAGCCGGTATGGGATTGTGCCTTACTCTATAGTTTTAGTATTGCGCATAGAAGCAAACGCAAGCGGTGTGCGTTTGCGTTAGAGTCGCGTGCCCCACGTTGTGCGTGCGCCTCATCGCCATGCGCCATCCAAGACCGCGATTTCGGGCTCCGCACACGCGCAGTGTGGAACGCGCAAAGCTAACGCAAACACACAGTGCTTGAGTTCGCTCGTATACGCAATATTAAAACTCACTACTGTTTCACCGGC